AATGATCCTTCCAAGTTTAGGCTTCTGCTAATGGAAAAGTATATGCCTCAAATCATTAGAATTTTTGAATTCATTACCGTCATTTTCATTTCTCAGTGGTTCTTCTTTTGGAGGCTTCATATTGATGTTTATGGAGATGGTGATCAAATCCTTAGCGCTATAATTAATTTTGTTAAAGCTGATGGACTTGTTAAACTTGCAAAACATATCGAGACAGTTGTTGAAGATCCGCAATATATCAACTATTTGTTAGCTTGGAATGAAGTGAATGCTCAAAGTGATACGTTTATTGGTAAACATTTACCGGCAATTGTTTTTCGAAGCAGTGGGGGACAAGCTTTATCAGGATATTGTTATTATGCTAACCTACCAAAGGACTTCGACAACTTCGGATGGATTAAGTATTTGATTGAAATGCAAACAGGTTAGCACCGAGCAAAGATGGTATTAATCATGAGGCAAGTGTAACAAGCGATTTGGTTTTTGACAAATTACAACCAAACCGGCAGCTACCACTTTGCTTTCAGAGCAATCCGCAGTTAAGTCGAATGTACTTTGGGTCATTCGGTGGTCTTGAATGGATTGAAAGTGTTGGATATAAACTGGATGTGCGCACAACTTCAAGAATTTCCCATGTTCGTATGTTTTCTCTTAAGAAATGTGTGCGATCTATGGGTACGCAAATCATACCACTATTGATGTCAGAAACAATTGATGATAAATACAAACTGTTTCATTTTCTAGCACCATGGGAATTAATGATAAATGGAGTTCTGGAGCCTGAAGTGTTAGTTCAATGGGAGGATCTATGTAATGAGACAACTAATTGGATGACTATGGAGGAGTTTCGGAAAGCAAATTTTACTTGGGACCTTGTGGACAAGGTCCTATTCAGAGATGGGAGTAATGTTATGCATCAGAATTGGAGAAATCATGAGAATATTGATCCAAATTTTGGAGGAGATAGATTGTTGATACAACGAGATACATTGTGGCTAGGATTAGAGTCAAATTTAACTCGAGAACAACAAAGAATGAAAATGCAAGTTGACCATAAGCGTCGAGATAATACCCTGCAAGTTGGTAGTTGGATGTTTTTATGCTTGCAATCATATTGTCAGAGGTCACTTTGGTTTCACAAGCAGCACGATATTGGACCCAATTATTTCAGACTCTACGACATTCTTCAAAGGATGAGTATTGGGACGTATAAGCCGGAGCTACATGCATCTCCTCGACTACATCGAGTTGTTCATGCAGCCATGCTTAAGCCATGTCATGACATTCTTCTACAACTGATCACTCCACAACCACGGTTGGAAAATTCAGGCTCAACATCTGCTTCGAACCTTGAGGACAAGGTTCTTTTCCAAGATGAGGGTATTGTTATGACCCAAGAGCAGTCCATGCCAACTCAGCACGCACATCAATCATTGCCAAGTCAGCAAATGGTGAGGAAGAATACACGTAAGAAAGGGCATTCCAAAATCGATTCGTTTGGTGGTTACATTAGCTGGATATTAAAGGCAATAGAAGATAGAAGGAAAGGATGAAAAATATTGTTGAAATCTGTTATCCTCTTTCCTCTCTAATTCTCTCTCGTCTTCTCTGTGTTTCTTCTATCCTATCTCCCTTCTATCTTCTTCTTAGTTACTGTAATTTTCTTGTTATTCAGTGAAAATACAGGTTTATCATCTTCAATTCATATCAGTGTGTTCTTGAGTTCACAACATACTTTTGGGTCAAATTTAGTGGCTTCAACCAAATGGGGTTTGGTCCACTTTATTCAGAATTCAAAGGCTTCAAATCAGTTCTGTTTTGGATAATAGAATCCATTTGATGGCCAACGCTGAACCTATCTCCTTCAACTAAAGTTTCCAATTTGGCCCTTTGAAATGTTTTTTATTTAATTATGGTTATTATTAGAATGACACTTTTATTTTTTATATTTATATATAATTTTTAAATAAAATAATTATCTAGAACCTATGTTTAGTATAAATTATACCTAATTTTCTCTAAACCTATAATCGTTATCAAATGATTTTTTAAAAATATTTTTTACCATAAAACATTCTTTTAACAGATAATGCGAGTTTAAAAAAAATTAATATATAGTAATATGAACATGAATGTAATATGATAAAATAAATAAAAAAGTAACAAAAAAATTAACATGTGGATAATGGTGTTGTTATCCTTTAAGATATTGAGTTTGAATAGTTGTGTTTGTAAGATGGGTATTTAAGGATGGAGCTCCTTTAGGGCCTAAGGGGGCCCAGTCCCTGTTAAAAATTATATATTTGATATAATTTTTGTTTAATAGTATTTTGGTTTATGTAAAAATAAATATTTAAATTTAAAAATATAAAAAACTATTAAATATTTAATCAAGTAGGGGTCGAACTAAAGAATGATAAGTCTGTGTTCTCAAATTTTTGGTCTAATTACAATTTAAGTCAATCTAAGTTTAAATATTAGACAAATTTGAAGTTGTCTTCTGAGTTTTGAGTTTTTTTTATTTATTTATGGTTAATACAATGTAATATCTGTACATAGACTTTCAACTATTTAACAATAAATGCCCATACCCCTACTTATGTGCTTAAACTCGGGACCTCAATGATAACAACAATCTCTTAATCACTAACGTACTTTGGTTCATGCTGAATTTTGAGTTTAAATACCTAATAAGTCTTTATATTTTTCTTGAATAGTCTAATATTTCGACTCCTGCCAATATTTAATTCTGGCTCCGTCCCTAAATATACTCGTTATCAATGATAAAGAAATTTTGCACAGACACTACCTTATAATCTCTTCATACTAATTAAAATAAATTATATAAATATACAATATTATAATAGTTAAATGTATAAAAACAAAAGAAATGGGATTAGATGGAGACGTTTCACGCAAAAGATTTGTGGGTATATTAATGATGTGGACTTTGTAATTTGAAAAACAAAGTTTGAGAGGGATTGGCCCTCCTTCCCTGACTTTCATATAAAGAGGGAAATTGCTAATGACTTTTCTCATAATTTTCATTAAATCTAAAGTAATAAAGTTGTTATTAATTAAATTTGATTAATTCGTGATATCAATTTAAAAAATATATTATGTTGAATCTAGTGAATATTTTACTGATAAAGAGAGTGTTATTCTTCATATAATATCTAAATTTAAATAATTATATCTACAAAATATATGTATGTTATGAATAATTGAGAAATATCTTAAATATATATTATCTTATAATCAGTTAAAATTATTAAAAAATATATTATATTATATAAGACAAGAATTGGTGAAGAAGGTGTTGGTTTTGGTTTGACCTTTTGTACAATAAAGAGTGGGGCTGCTAATGGGTATTTAGGGCCTACTCCACAGCATTGTTACTTTATAATTTTGCACTTTCTTATTATTTGTAACTAATATCGTTAAGGGTAATGTACATAAATGATCCTCCAGTTATATAGTATTATTTTATTGAATCAATTAATTATTAAAAAATAATAAATGATCTTCTAAAAACAAGAAACTACTTTGTTGGATTCTCCAACCATTAAAAGTTACAAAATAGTCACTTTAATATTTATATATTCTAAACTCATCATTTTTTATTAAAAAATTAGCGGTCGTCTGAGCTGAAAGTTAACATGTTGACCGAGATATGACAAAATTTGATCCTAGAACTGTTTGAGTTGTATTTTTTATATCGACTCTCAATTTACATTATATCATCGAGTCAGTGCTTGAAACATTATGACGTCGAGCCAGTGATTGAAAGCAATGACAGTGCCAATAGACATCACTAAAATATGATTTTATCATATCACAATCAACATGTTAACATCCAACTCAAACAATCGTCAGTTTTTAACATAAAATGATGAGTTTGGAACATATGAATAGTTGGGTGATCATTTTGTTACTTTTAATAGTCGGGAGACTTAACAAAATAATATCTTATAGTTAGAGACCCTTTTGTAATTTTTAATAGTGGGAGAACTTAACAAAGTACCGTGCTATATTCGAGGGACCATTTGTGTACTTTACCGAATTGTTAATTAGGTTGTGGTTGATGACAAACCCTTCCCTTCTCTAAAATTATTTACTCATCAAAGTTGATGGCTGTCTGGACATCACTTGTATTAGTAGTTGTTACTCAAAACTTGTAGAAAATATAAATTCGTTTTTTTGTTATACTGACTGTAAAAAAATAGTAATTTCATAGTAACACTGGTATATTTATTAACCCTAAAACTAACTAATTAACCATAGACGATATCATAATTTGAATGGAAATTTAACATAAACATTTGAGAAAAAAGTGGTTATTGTTTTTCTTAAAATGTATATTATTTTTTCTTATAAGAAGTAAAATTCCATTGGCTAAAGCATTAACGATTACAAAGGAAAGTTGATAGCAAAAGCTTGACCAAATTTGCAAACTGCTTTCAAGGGGGTCTGCTATGAATAATTCAATGGGAAACCACCCCCAAATATACGTATGTGGGGTTACCACAAGATTGAAAATAATATGTATTGACCCATGATTAGCTGTAAAATTATACATATAAAACTTGATTAGGTCACAAGGTAATTTTAGACATAAAACTTCAAAGAAATAACGTGAAACACATAATGAAAAATCAAGGAACCAAATTGATAAAAGATAAGAATAAAGGGGTTAAAGTGTAAATTTTATTAAGGTATAGGAGCCATTTTAAGTATTAAGCTAAAATTTGAAGTAAAAAACACGAGGGTTATAGCAAAAGCAGAACCCTTTAAGGCGCGTCCATTATACTCTCCAATCACCTGATCGACGTGGGACTCTGATGTTGCCCTTATTGTGCACCAGTTTTCATCAACATTGCAATCTTTAACTCTTCCCCCACGCTCACCCGACGGCACGTGCTCGCGCGTTACACCGTCTCACTCACCCAGTCATGTACCCCCTTATTTTCTTTCATACGGTCTTATCTTACCCCCTCACTGTCTCTTGCTTCGAATTTTCTTCGGTTAAAATAAAAAAAGACTACTCTGCATGGGGAGTCATCGGGAAATCAGGATCCGACAGCGCCGGCGGATTTTCCCGGCTAAATGCGAGACACCATGAGACGCAGTTTTTTTATATAATCCTCAGAAACTAGCAGGAAAAATGATGATAATAACCGCGACGATATCCACAGCAACAGAGACAATAAGCAGAACAATTCAGTGAAACTCCAAAAAGGAGTTGCTAAATTTTCCATTATTTTCATTTAAGTCCCTCTGCAATGGCTGCCACGACTAATTCAACGACGACTCCAGTAGACTCAGTCTCGGCTGATGAGTTAGCAGCCAAGGCCGTGCAAAAAAGATACGAAGGGTTAGGGACGGTTCGAACCAAGGCTACAAAAGGTAAAGGAGCATGGTATTGGGCATATCTCGAACCCATGCTTGTTCGTAATACCGATACCGGACTCCCCAAAGCTGTAAAACTCCGATGCTCTTTGTGCGACGCTGTTTTCTCAGCGTCTAATCCTTCAAGAACAGCTTCAGAACATCTAAAGAGGGGAACATGTCCCAACTTTAACGCTTTTGCTAAACCCATTTCTTCTGTTTCTCCATCTCCGACAACGCTAGCAGTTGGAACCGCTACTCAAAATAATAGAAAACGGCCTTCTTCGGTCACGGTAACTGCCACTGGCCAGGACCTTGACGCATCCGGTTCTGGTCCGGGTTACTCTTATGAGGCTACTCCGTTGGCTATTGTTGATCCTTCAAGATCATTTGGGGAGTTAGCTTACTCGCCGTCGCCTGGGGCAGTTGTGACGGCGAGTGATGGAAGTTTCGCGCCACAAAATCAACATCATTTGGTTTTATCTGGAGGTAAAGAGGATTTAGGTGCTTTGGCTATGTTGGAAGATAGTGTAAAGAAGCTAAAATCTCCTAAAATATCACCTGGGCCAACTTTAAGCAAATCCCAGATTGAGCGTGCAATTGATTTATTAGCTGATTGGATTTATGAGTGTTGTGGGTCGGTTTCATTTTCGAGTCTTGAACATCCAAAGTTCAGAGTTTTTCTTAATCAGGTCGGGTTACCGCCAGTTTCAAGCAGGGAGCTTGCTGGGAGTAGATTGGATGTTAAGTATGAGGAAGTGAAAGCAGAATCCGAGGCCAGGATTAGAGATGCTATGTTCTTCCAGGTTTCATCTGATGGGTGGAAAGTTAGGAGCGTTTCTAGTGGCGAGCGGAGCTTGGTGAACTTGACCGTGAATTTGCCTAATGGGACTAGTTTGTATAGAAGGGCAGCTTTTGTTAGTGGTTTTGTTCCTTCAGAATATGCAGAGGAGGTGATGTGGGAAACGGTGACCGGAATTTGCGGGAATGCCGTGCAGCAGTGTGCAGGGATTGTTGCTGACAAGTTTAAGGCTAAAGCATTGAGGAATTTGGAGAATCAGCACCATTGGATGGTTAATCTTTGTTGTCAGTTCCAGGGTTTTAATAGTTTGATTAAGGACTTTAACAAGGAGGTTCCTTTGTTCAAGACAGTGACCGATAACGCCTTGAAACTTGCAAATTTCATAAATATCACTCCTCAATTTCGAATTAGCTTTGAAAAGTATCTGTTACACGAGTGTGGGAGTACTGAGTTCTTGAGGGTGCCTTTGCGTGATCACGAGAGCTTGAACTTTGGACATGTTTATACAATGATTGAAGATATATTGAACTCTGCTCGGGCAATTCAGTTGGTTTTGCTTGACGAAACATATAAAATGGTATCCATGGAAGATCCGGTCGCTGGAGAAGTTGCTGAGATGATTCGAGATATGGGGTTTTGGAATGATTTAGAGGCAGTGCATTCATTGGTTAAATTGATCAAGGAAATGGTACAAGAGATTGAAAATGAAAGACCATTAGTTGGGCAATGTCTACCGCTTTGGGAAGATCTCAGAACCAAGGTGAAGGATTGGTGTTCGAAATTTCACATTGCAGAAGGTCCAGTAGAGAAACTGATTGAAAGGCGGTTCAGGAAGAACTACCACCCGGCTTGGGCTGCTGCATATATACTCGATCCACTTTATTTGATCAAAGATATGAGTGGGAAATACCTTCCCCCTTTCAAATACTTGACAGTTGAGCAAGAAAAGGATGTCGATAAGCTGATAACCAGGCTTGTATCAAGGGAGGAGGCTCATATTGCTCTTATGGAACTTATGAAATGGAGAACAGAAGGGCTTGATCCGGTATATGCTCGAGCTGTGCAGATGAAGGAAAGAGATCCTATCACTGGGAAAATGAAAACTGCTAATCCCCAAAGCGGTAGGCTTGTTTGGGAAACGTATCTTACCGAGTTCAAGTCATTAGGGAAAGTCGCAGTTAGGCTTATTTTCCTCCATGCAACCTCGTGCGGATTCAAATGCAACTGGTCTTTGTTGAGACGGATAGGTGCTCATGGACATTCAAGAGTAGGCATGGAGAGGGCTCAAAAGTTGTTATTCATCGCAGCGCACTCCAAGCTCAACCGGAGGGTTTTTTCCAGTGACGAAGACAAGGATGTAGAGCTTTTCAAATTGGTAAACGGTGAGGATGATGTGCTAAATGAGGTTCTTGTGGAAACATCCTCAGTGTAACGTTTTTCCTTTCTCCCATTTCTTTATATATTTGGGGAAAAAATGAATTCTTTTCACTAGTTTCTTTTCTCCATTTTTGTATTCCTACCACTGGCAACCTCACAGTTCGAGCATTTACCACCCCCTTAGCATGATCTTTGGGGCTTTTCGATTTGCAGAAAACTCTTTTCTTTTCTTTTTGAGAAAGAAAACTCTTCTTGTGTGTAAAGATATATAGATGCCTGCATGAATAGAAGTTACGAAACAGGAAGAGCACTGTATTTTTTTCCTCTAGCGTTCTTTTACAAAAAATAATACACCTATAAAGGGGAAGCTTTATGATTTCTCTCGTTTTATGAACATATCTCGACTGTATATTCTTTTGAGGTTTACAAACAAGCCATTCTTTTAACATAAAACACTTATGCCCCAGAGACCTGCCTCTTGACTAATGTTGAAGTTATGTAATCTGGTTTGGCTTGTATGCCACCTTCTAGTTTTTTGATTTATGGAACTCACAATTTAGATTTGTGTTCTTAATAACCCGGAAAATGCAGTTTCATTTGCGGTCCAAATCCGCCATTTTATGAAGTATCTAAGCATGTAAAGACAGTTACCTTTCTGTCTGAAAAAGTTTGTCATATTGTATCTATTTAGATCTTAAGATGCAGCTGGTTCCATAGATTTCAATATTATTTCAAATGTGGAGTTTGGATCCCTTGCTGTCTTTATAGATTTCAAACATGTCCAATTTGTGCATATATATACTCATCTACAGGGTCTTTCTGCAAACTGAACTTGGTTCCAAGTTCGGACATGTTTTCTGTCAAAACCGGTAATTGTCTGGACCATAATACCGAAACTGGACAATATCTCTGCCTTCTGTGTATGCGTACTGTGTTTAGTTTTTGTGACTTGCAATGCAATCAATCATTTCGACAGGTTGAAAACCGAAATCAGATCCAAAGTATAATCACCACTTCTCTGAAATTAGTTGGTTAAATTACATTTTTATCAGAAATGTCTGGACATATAGTAAAGTCAATTCCAGAGTATTTTCTTGGCGTTCACCTATCAAAACATGTGTTCAACCAATTATTGTAAGTTGGACTATGAACTTAAGATATAATTGTGCTGAATGTCTTATATTTGTTGGCAGGAGCATTGGAGAAAGATATTATGGGACTGGAAAGACCACCATAAGATGGTTGGCCGTTAGCATTGTTGGACCATGATTGCAGAGGAATTTGGCAGAAGAATCCAAAGGAAGTGAAAGTTTTCGGCAAGGTTGTGTGTCGTCTCGCAATATGTTCCTTGAGCCAGTCGGGTGGATGGCGAACCGAGTTTCGATACGTGGGTCAGCGACCTCGGAAGGACCCTGAGACAAGGCCTTTCAAGCTGGAGGAGCACTTGTACAAGTCCCATGTCCTTTTTTGTGCGCCATTGGGAGATTGGAACCCCGCCATGAAAGTGAATGTCATTTTCCAAGCTTTGGTTTTCTGTGTAGGAGAAAGATCAGACTTTTGCCATCAAATCATATTTGGGGTTATCTTTTAAACATTCCGAGTCTCATGAATCCATGATGTTAATACAGACTCAAATATATATATATATATATATATATGGTCTTAGAAAAGCATTTTGAGCTTTAATCTTTGAACTATCTTTGTTTAAAGCATTGATGGAATTAGATTCAAATCACCCACTAACGTGCTAAACAGTTAAAACTTTATAAAGATGAACAAAAATATAGATAAAGTGGAGTAACATTTGTTGGGTTTTTACCAGTCAGAAGTCACTGGGGTCTTGTCTGTCTTGTAATTAATTAAGATTAAAGTGGAGACACAGAATTTGCTGTCGGCAAAGACTTGTTAATGTTGACTGCTCACCAACCTAACCTACCAACTAAGCTTTTTTTTCCCCTGTCTCTGCCAGTAGGGTATGCTTCCATTTATTAGTAAAACTTGCGAGTAGCCACCGAGCAAGGTGAAAGCTGGTAAATATTGTAAAATAAAGGGCGCGTTTTCCATGCATTAGTGAAGTAAATTTGTATAGTTATGGACCACTAAATAAATTATACCATTATATTACCATAAAAATATATACAACGTCGTCGGATACTTACCATTCTTCTCTTATTTAAAACTAATCACTTAATTATGTGAGTAGGCAAAACAGCTACCAAATTAATTAAAGATTAATCTATCAATAAATTATACATATTAAAAAAGTAGTTACCAATTTTAATAATTTTTATGCAATTGAATACTCTAACTTTACTCATTTGTTTATATATTTATTTATTCACACTTTTAATATGTTATTCATTTTATCCCGAGATAAAATTTCATTCATTTTGTAGGAGTGTAAAAATATGATATTTCACTCTTTTTCATAGTTTTCATTCATTTTCTTTATTTTGTACCTAATTTCAGTAAAAAAAAAAGATCAAATAAGTGTTTATTCTTTTATTGAAACAAGCTTTTCAAATGATACAATATTTTCTTTTATCACGATAATCTTTTATTACAAAACTTCAACTTTAAACCTAAATGTATATTTTAATATTTATAAAAATAATGAATTTTTAATTGTCCTACACATTAATTGAATGTATTTGATATTTTAACTTGTTTTAATATAAAAATTATATTTTCACCTTTTACTTAATCTAATTTTTTTTTGTAAATTTTAAAGTTTTGTTAAATATTTACAGTAAACATTATCATTGAAAAAAGACATAATTTTATGTTATCACTTCATCAAAAGTTAATTGAGTAATCTACTAAGATAATTGATAAAATAAAAATTTGAGTATCATTTTAAAAATATATTTATTTTAAGCATTAAATATATATTTAAACTTAAAAGGAATGATGATAGATTAAATAGTCGTGCAATGTTACATTACTAGAAAAACCCAAAAACATGGTATTTATAAAGAATCATGTGTGTTTTAATGAAATTATTATTACATATTAGGCAAAAATGATTCGGTCGTGTTAAGCACAAGCGGGAGGTTCAGTCATCGAAGCACGTGTTTCAATCATGGGCTTTGCTCTCTTTCAAATTTAGGGTTAAAGAAAGAAAAATAATTTAAAATTAATAAATTATTATCTGGAAAAGTTTAGTCACCTAAAAATAAAATTCGTTAGCATTCTGTTAAAAAATTTGATGAACAAGTGATAAAAATATTATCTAAATAATATTATATATAAAATATTATTTAATATATTATTAATAGTTTTTTTTAATTAATTTATCATTATGTATTTAAATATTTATAAGAGAAAAAAAGATAATGGAGAGTTCAGCCAACATGAAAACTAAAAATTGTTTTTGTTTGGTCATTGTCTCGTGGCCAACAAAGCGTGTTGGGATGATTGATTCCACGGGAATTGGATGTTATTGGTCAATGTCCGTACACCCTTGACCTAAACAAAACGAACTTTACATCATTAATTATTTTCTCGAATTATTATAAACATAAAATATGACGTATATAATATGAATATTGTTAGGTGTTTTCCAAAAAAAAATCATATTTTTAATTTAATATTCTCGATCAGACATCAGTCAGATTATATTTCCCGATCTAACGTCCTTTGCAGTAAGGCGCGTCCCTGTACCGCGTTATACGCTGATTTGGCGCCACGTGGGGTAAGGTGTCCCCTGAGGCGCCTTATGCTGACATGGATACACGTGTGTATGGCGCGGGACAGGAGTCGCGCTTTACGCAACATAAGATATAGCGCGGGACAAAGGTCGCGCTATTCAAATATCTCAATTATCAAACATGCATCATGCAAGGCACGGTGCAAGGACCGCGCATTGCATTATTTTCTCAAACTTCTCGGCTTTAAGGCATCTTCTCTCGGATATAAATAGCTGTCTCCCGTAAACTCTCTCACCAACAATCATTTGAATTAGTAAATAACATCTGACAATCATCTTATATTTAATTCAGAAGTTTACTCGATCTTTCGTTATAAGGTAATTTTGTTATAATATTTATTTTATAGTTATATATGATTATTTGAAAAAATATTATACTAATTGTTTTCAATTAATTTATGTGTTTGTAGAATTAGAAAGTGGGAGAATACGTCGAAATATTTTTACGGTGCAAGCAATAATAAAAAAATATATTATTTAAATTATTTACGTTTATGTGTAAAAAATTTATTCTGTTATATTTTTGGTCATATATTATTTATTTAATCAGGTTTGTTTATGTTGTTTTTTTTGCAGATATAATATTGTTGCACTTTTAAACTCTAAGAATGACGTGACTTTCAGCTATTGTTTATTATGATGGAGAAATTCGAGAAGATGAAATCGGCGTTGTATTCGTATCAAATGAGCGTGTTAAAATATCATTCAAGAGAAACATAACTCTTGATGAGTTGATAACGAAGATTTCGAGGAAGGTTCATGTTGGAAATAGTAGAAGAATCTCGTCGTTTCAGTACAGATTTTTAACATCATTGTTGCCATTAATTTATACAGCGTTCGAACTATCGAACAACGTTCCACCGGAAGCCCCAGGTACATAGAAACATCCTCAAGCGTGATCGTGCACTCTCCGCACGGAAGATGAAATGTGTGGGTCTCCGGCCTCCACCGCTCTACTAAGGCAGAAATAAGGTATGGTTTTATCTTACAGTGACCCTGATATCTACCTAGGTGACTGAATCCAGCCTTTACTAAATACGATATTACACGAGTAGGTATAACTAACTTAAGGTTCCTAATAAAATGATCTAATATACAATCTCTCTCCTAAAAAATAAATAATCACACAAATTAATTTTTAAACTGATAATCATGCATTAAATTAATTAATTAATTAAATTAAAACGTTAAAATATTACCGTATTAGCAAAGTGTCGAGATATATGATTTCTATCCAACCAAAGTAGACCGCCTTCCATTTTATGTATGCAAAAAAAAATTAATTAAATAAAATATTTAGCAATTAAAATAATTAAATAAATTACTAAAAAAACTAAATATAATAAAATATACCTTAATAATAGAATATAAGAGTATTTGAGAGAAGTTGAGAGGATTTGGTGTGATGAAAGTGATTGAGAATTGGGGTATTTATAGGGAGGGATGAGTGTGAACGGACGGGGGTAATTTGATAATTAAGGGTATAGCGTGGGACATGGTCTGCGCCTTTCTGACGCGTGTCAAAATCACAGGTAAGGCGCGGCCCCTGCGTCACGTCATACCCTTAATGACTAACCTACCATCACCCGTTCATACGTGTATCCATTAGCATAAGACACGTCTCAAGGGGCGCGCCTTACCCCACGTGACGCCAACTCAGCGTATAACACGGTGCAGGAGGCGTGCCTTACTGCAAAGGGTGTTAGATCATGAAATATAGTCTGACCGGTGTCTGATCGAAAATATTAAATTAAAAAGATGATTTTTTTTTTGGAAAAACGCCATATTGTTATGTGTTAAAATTTAGAAATTAGGTCATCTAGAATTGCATGTGCAAAGCCAAAAGCAAAGAGACTCGTCATTCTGTCTCTAACGTATTAGACCAAAGCATATTTTCACGGGGACAATCATTTTTTTAATTAAAAATTTTGCATCGAATTTTGAAAAATAGAAAGAAAATTAATTTAAAGATCGTAGAGATTTGATATAAGATTGATTAGATTTATTTCAAGTATTGTTTAGACTTAATCTTCAAGAACGAGTTTAATCTCCTTTGAATTAATACAAATCTAATGGGAGAGAGTTCAGTAGAAAGATCATCTAAAATTATTATTGAATGGATGAACCCACTTCAGTAACCGTTTAGATTAAATTTTGAAAGACGAAGTTAATCTCCTTCGTGTCATAAGAACACAAGTAGATAATTTTTTATTTATGAGAGTCCAGAACTTAATTTTAAATAGATTTTGTCAACTTCAAAAAAGTGTTTTAGACTTGCTCTAGAAAATAACGTCTCTTTCTATTAGTTTTAAATGAAGGGGATGATATCATGTAGGTCAATTTATTTCATAGCACAGTGCTAATTAGTTAAATTTGTTTGTCTGAATTTAAGTAGTCTCGAATGCCAATCTTTTTTATATTTTTTTCTTTAGAAACATATTGAATTTCGACTTCAGTCGAAACTAGTAATTATTAATCAATTATCACCGCTACCATTTTCTTTTAATTATCATATACATACATGTATCGTATAAAGAGAGAAGTTTATACATGCACGATAAAAATGCAAACATTAAGAATAATACACGTTTATAAATTATAAGACATAGTAGGGATTAGAACATGGAATCAACAAAAACAGAAGAAAATGAATTGAATAGTACTAATGTTAAAATATTTTATGGTTTTCAAAATTCAAAATCATGATTTGAGTCCCTCATAACCAGACAGAATGGGTTAAGGCTCCACTTATGCTTCAAGTTTTAAAAATTCAGTAGTTAATTCCTATGAATTACAACATCAACATTTATACAGGCGAATTACTTGGTGAATTCCTCGTGCACATCAATTACAATACACAACCCATAACGATG